AGGGTGTTCATATCAACACTGTTCATCTCACATCTGAAAACAACTGTCAGGTCATTGCTCTGGACCAGTTACCTGGTGGAACAGCTGTTGATTATGAGAGACATATATGTGGAGCAGTTGATCATTTAGGTTTTATTTTTTCAGATTTTCACTCCCTTCCCTTTAACGAATGTTGTAGTTCAATTATATCAAATATTTCCAACACAATGTCTGACAGAGTCTCAGTTAACTATCTTACTATTACCAAAATTTGTAATACATGGGGGAAGAATTTAAATGAGCTTAACTGCCATTTACACCCTCTAGACACAATTGCTATTTCATGTAGGGAAGTTTTAAAATCTCTAGAACTTGAACGTTGCAAATTGTTTGGGTATGATTGTATGGCAGTCAAAACTGTGTTAGCAATGAACAAAATGAGGTTTAAGGATGGGAAAGGTGATCCACAAGGGTTTGTAAATTTTTTAGACAATAAAAAACTACCTCGAGGTATTATTCCACGGTATCGTGGAAACCGTTTGCACATTCTTTTTCATACTTTTTATGAAACACTATGCTGATTTTCTACATTATCTGACCACTGGAACAGTAAAATGTTTCACTTTACAACCAATTTTACGAGAAGCATTTTGTAACGCAACTGCTATAAAACAAATGGGAGTGCTTGCGCTGTTTAGTAAACTTCTCAGTGGACCATGGATGACTAAGTTTTATGTATCAGCTGGTAATGCAAGTTTCGATCATATCACTGGAATCCAGGTTGTAGAAAATGTTTTGAAAGAAATTATTTGTTGCATATCAGATCCAGGTGCGTTATTTTGTAGAAATATGGATTTTTTTGGGAAAATGCTTGATCCTTGTGTTTTAAAACCTATTACAACCTTATGCCCCATTGATGACCAACTTCTTGAAATGACTTCTGCTTGTCTTAATGCAGTGAAGGATGTTTTGACACGTCAATACAAGAGATATTTCTCACTTACTATAACAGAGGAACTAAAGAAGGAGACAGCGAGTGCAAGGCTTCACAATGTTGATAGTGAAGAGTTATTTGGTATGTTTAGCGATTTCAAAGGGCGATGCCCTAATGCAACAATTTGTTACACATCTAGCAAAATAAGGTCCAAAAAGAATAGAACTATAGATTATCTTGATAATATCGATGAGTTGCCTAGAGAAAAAGTAGTTCAGTGGTCTATTAACATGGCACGTAAAAATAGAAGTAGAACTCGACTATTACGCAGTGAAATTCGCGCAAAGGTTGCTGATAGAGAAGCATCCAAACGACAAAAAATGGATGAAAAACAAAAAAGAAAGTTGGAGCGTGAACTGCGTGCACTAACTACCAGCGCAATTATAAATCTGTATAAATACTTATCTGCCAAACGACTTGATGATTTAGATGATGTTATGTCTGAAAGAATTGTCGGAAGAAAACTTTGTCATGAATGGTATGTTGCTATCGATTCAAAAACAGTTATTTTTGATGGAAGAGTAGAAAAAGTAAATAAGAGACAACAGGACATAATATACACTATTTCTTACTGGAAGCAAGATGAAATTGATATTGAGGCTGTTAAATATAAGATAAAAAAAATCCAGCTTGTTGCTGATGTTATAACTGGAGAATTAATATTTTCTTAATTTAAATGACATTAACTTATATGCCTTGCATAAAAATGTACAGCAAGTTTTATGGCTTGCAAAATGAGTACCGCAAGTTTGTGGCTTGGAAATATGGTACAGCAAGTTTTATGGCTTGCAAAATGAGTACCGCAAGTTTGTGGCTTGCAAATATGGTACAGCAAGTTTTATGGCTTGCAAAATGAATACCGCAAGTTTGTGGCTTGGAAATATGGTACAGCAAGTTTTATGGCTTGCAAAATGAGTACCGCAAGTTTGTGGCTTGCAAATATGGTACAGCAAGTTTTATGGCTTGCAAAATGAACACTGCAAGTTTTGTAGCTGGCAAATTTTTTTTGATAGACCGCTCTGGCTTACCTTCACGTGGTGTCTATTGTTAAAAATGATTTAATTTTATTCATAAAATTAAATCATTCACTAAAAGCCAAGACAAAACTTAAATACATTTTTTATTTCAAAATACTTATTGTTTTAGCGTGTATTTTGTTTAGGTTGGAGCAGGAAATCGATCCATTTAAAGGACAAAAAGGATATTCAAACGCATCTTGTAGTGTGGTAAAATAGTCTTATTCTAATTTTTCTCTGTTTAAGAAAGCATTTTAACATTTTTTAGGAAATTGTCATTAAATTTTTTTATTCATATTTAGGGCGGCAGGGGGCGGCATACGCCTAACTCCAAAAAAGGCATTTTTGTATACCACTAGTTACTATTTTTCATAGTATTGAATATTATATTTATTTTTATATAATTTAATCATTTTAGTAAACATTAGAATATTTAAAAAAATGAAATTTTGATAGGGTGTGTTAAACCTCACCCACAGCCTAACATCCAACAAGATAGACCTGTAATACTCGCTATTGATGTAGAATAAAATAATTCCAACATGTTATACATAAATATTATCAATTTCATAAAAAAAACACTCTTTTATGCAGAAAAAGTGTTTTTTTTTGCGGTGTTGGTGGTGCTTTAGCACCCCCTCCGGATCCCTTAATGCGCTATTTACCTAGAAATAAGTTTAAAATTAAAGACCATTTTTACACCTATCTTTTGATACCAAGTTTTAGAATTTTGAATAAGAATTGTCAAAGTTATAACAATTTATGTAAAAAAAAAAAAAATTTTGACCACAGTTTTATCAAGAAATCCATATATCGAAAATTTGCTACTAAAAACGTCATAACTTTTGATAGAATTGTCCGATTTTCGTAATTTGAAATACCGCATTTGTGGGCTTTCTAATGATATATAACATTCTAGTATTTGAATAATTTAATAAAATCAGTCCACGTACCGATACCTTTGTTTAATAAACCATCATCAAACAATATATGCATATCATTTCAACTTAAGTATTAAGAATTTCTTCTACGTTATTAGACATAATTGAATATGAGCAGGATGATCGCATTTACCTATTTCAACTTCAAAATCAAAGTTTATAGGATGCGGTCGCGTTTCCAGACTATTTCTTGTGACTATGCTTAAACAGATAAGAAAAGAACTTGTAGTGGACTAAAGCGCTTTTTTATAACATTATAGTTAAAATCAAGCTTTTCAATTAATAGTGATCTTAAGACATAAAAATAGTGGTCTTTAGGTTTATTATTAAAAAAATTAGTCTTTTAGAAGATTTAAAAATTTTGTAAAAGAGAAAAGTTTTTATTACCCATCGTATAAACCATCAGCATATATAAACCTCTTGTTGGGACCAATACGTTGAAAAAATATTGTCAATGCCGAGTAAATGGAATCGATTAATTATAAATGAGCTATCACATTAGGCATACAAATTTACTAAAGCAGTTTTTTAGTTACCATAATTATTGAAAATGAAATAATAAGTGTAGTATGAGTTATTTAAAAGCTAATGTTAAAAATTTTAGGAACAAACCCGACTAGTACAAACACAAACTATTGTTAAAACAAAACAGATTGTGGCGATCTAGTTTCAGCCGATATTAAATATTTCCTAAATAACTGGGAAGTTAAGCCGGATCACGACCGAACCAAACCAGTTTGTATTGCAGTCTCTAATATCTTGTACAATTCTGTTCGCTTACTCTATACTATCTTTCTAACTCGACTACTTCTATCTTTTACTCTAACATATCTTCGTTCTTCTCAAACTCATCTAACTCTTGCACTGTAGAGCGAGATTTGACGCTCCCTTGAGAGCCGAAACAAGTCTGCAGACCTTGGTAATGTCTTATAATATTATAAGACGGATACCGTTTTATAATATTATAAATAATTATTGTATTGCAATTACAGAATGTTTCACATGCATGGTTTACGTCGTTAATTTAGGCGATGTTTACCATACCATACCCCAGTAATCTTCCAACAACACGTTTTTTCTAATGTTAAAATAACCGATCATGAAGTACTATTCTTTTAAAGTATTTTCAAGAATATATTTGCTGAACTAAGTTAATGAAATATAATAATTCAGATGATAAGATTTATTATAAGAATATAGATTTTTAAACTTCTTATTTATATTATTCAATATAAAATTTAATATATTTATTTATTTATGTTCCTTGGGATTCATTGCCATGTTGAATCTATTATGAGCCATTGCTATTAACAGTTTCATAATAGTCATAGAGATCACATTTTCATAATAACTATATGTTTATCATGCTTGTCCTTAAAGATATTTACACTTTTTGCGGAGATGATTTCTTCTGGTTGTTTATTCCACCATTTTGCAACTCTATTTGTAAAAAAATTTTTCCTTGGTCTGTTTCTTTTTATTAGCTCAATATCTACACGTGCTTTATGTCTTCTAATGTTTGAAGCCGGACCATTTGCTGAAATTGAAACTGCTGCTTTTGGTTGTTGATACCAACACACTTTGTCCAAATTATGAGATATTTTAAAATATTGAATTAAATCATATCTTAATCTCCTGATTTTTAAAGAAGTCAGTTGGAGTTTTAAATGTTTAAAATTTTAAATATGTTTACAATATTCTACGAAAATCAATATTTCTGTAATACTACCTTGACCCTAATACTGATTCTCTATTCATGTTTTTTTACATATCATATGAGTTTGAAACCTAAAATAATCGTCATGTTTTGTACAATTATTCTTTTGTTATTTAATTCTTCATATATACTTCCTTTCTCTTTATTCTGTCTGTTTTGTGAAAACCCTAACTGATGCTTAAATTCATAAATTTGATATGTCCGTTAATAGAGGTTACAGTAAAGAACCATTAGAAACTTAAACATTAGAGATTAATATATTGATCTCCTAATTAATTTGTTGCCAATATGTTACATAGTCGGGTTGTGATACAAAAATAACAAAAAATTTTCATTTACGCTTTTTCCGGTAGAATTCGAAATTTTACCCTACAAGAACACATAGCTAACAGCTAACTGTGTTAACCAAATTCTGATTCACAGTTATCAGACCTGGTAGAATCAGATCAATAAAGAAATAAGGCAGAAATCTGGGTAAGTCAATTTTCACTTATCAAGTTGCTTTGAGGTTTTATACTATATTCTATTCTGGTAAAAAAAAAAATTACACTATTCGAAAAGGTTTTATCAGCTGTAGAGTTAAGGTATGTCAAACTAAATATTATATATACTTAAGCACTGTAATTGAAATGTATATACCAACATGTGTGTAAAAAAATAAATAACATATATATATATATATATATATATATATATATATATACATATATATATATATATATATATACCCATATATATATATACATATATATATACATATATATACATATATATATATATATATATATATATATATATATATATATATATATATATATATATATATATACATTTATATTTATATATATATATATATTTATATCTACATATGTTTATATAATTATATATAAATATATAGGTATGTCATATGAAATTTTTAAATTCAGCCAATTCTAGGTTGTTATATATCATCAAAAAATACTTAATATTAACATTCTAAAAAGCCTAATATCAATATTCTAAAAAGTAAAAAATCGAAACACCCCTACAAACAAGTTATGACATAAGTTCTAATTTTTTTATAGGATTTATTGAAGAATATATAAGTTCTTATATATATAAGTTCTCTAAGAACACATATTATTGAAGAATATAAAAAATAGGATTTATTGAAGAAACTGTGGTTAAAATAAAGTTTTATTAACTAAAATTACTATTACTTTTTTAATTCTCATCCAAATGTTTATATCTTGGTATCATATGATAGATACAAGAGTTATCTACAAATTCAGATGCATTCAGATAGCAAGAAGGAGCACATAATCATCATACTTACTGGCAGTAAAGGCTGACTACATTTATAAAAAAATAACTTTTTAATGAAAATCTAAATATTTATATGCAAAAGGTTTTATAATTACCTCTCCTTTAGTAATTATCTCACCACAGTCAAATATAGAAGACTCATCATTGCCTTTGGGTGGATAAAAGGTTGATAGTTTCAAACACCCCATTATGAAAAATGACTTTTTATCTAAACATTTATCTTTATAATTATAATATATAATGAATAAAAAAATATATTTTACCACTTTAAAACATCACTACCAACGCTACCTTCACTACCTTTACAACATACCTTCCAGCGCTACCATCACTACCAGCGCTACCAACACTACCCTTTGTTTCAAGGGGTGTAGATATGGAAGAAGGCGTGTTGTTCCATACCCTCCCCTTTTTTTTTATTTTTGCAACCCTAAAGAAATCCTATTTTTGATAAAAATCAAAAAATATCTAAACGTAATTAAAAAAATTAATTTTAATATAAAAACATCTTTTACCGAAACTCAAATACATCACATATATTCAACTCAAATAACACCCCATATATTTACGGCCATACAGATTACGGATCTAATTAGGATCATAAATAGGAATAACCTAATTATCATATTTACTTAGAAATAGACCTTTCATAAATGCAATTTTATTAGTTGTATAATAAGTTTATCTAAATGCCTAAGTGCAGGTAAGAGGATAACATAAATTAAATGCAACGTTTATTTTACTTTAGGTAAATATCAACTCACCAGATACCATGTCAGCAACTAGTTAGACTTTTTTCATTTAATAATTAACTGCTTCATTATAATATTATTCTCTAGTCCAGTAAGAAATTTATCTGTGTCTTTTTAAGTTATTCTAATCTGTGCTTTTTTAAGTTTTTCTACTCTGTAATAATTCAAAACTGTCATTACTGTATCAGAATCATACCATTTATGGCAAAGATTTCTCCCAATAGTTCTTTCACACATAACATCATTTAATTCTTCAATTTGCTTAGTAAATAAGTTTTTAAACAAATTCATAATTTCACTGATACTTAATAATGTTATTTGTTGGTCTAACTTTCTTCAATCTTTTTCATAAATTTTTTGGCGTACAATAAATAATTATTTAAAAATAATTTTAATGTCTATAATTTAAAGTAATTTTGAACATTACAATATAACTAGTAGATATAACTACAAAATTTTATTAAACATTTATAAAAAGAAACATTTTACACAGTAGGTTACCTTACCTATGTTTGATGCTAAAGCAACCACTAAAAGTATAAATAAATGGATAAAAAGTACTTTATTTAGCATTTAGTTATATATCATTTAAGTTAAATTTTTTCAAAACTAAACATAAGTAAGGAAGAACATAAACTACATTTATTTTCTTTCTTTTTTCCTTTTTTCCTTTTTTAAATAATCAGAATAATATGCTTACCAGATTTGTCAACTGAAGACCCTGTGAATATAAAAATTCAAAATTATTCAAGACATGAATAAGGTTTATGTAGATAGTGCTGATATTAATATCGGTGGTGCTAAATAAAGAGACAAAAAAATTGATATTTAGAGTAATGCAAATATTAAGACATGTAATGTTTAAGTCTCAATACATATAACACCTATAAAACTGCATAAGTAAGCAAAAACGTATTACCTGATGTTCCTGCAGATGGTGCTGTCGGGGAGGAAGAATATAAAGAAATGTACACATATTATATTAGTATGTAACGTATATTAAACAGTTGTTTTAGTTCACATTTTACAGTTATAAAACCGTACACAAACATCGAAAAACATTATTTTTAAGTTGAAGAATACAATAATCAGAGTAAGACCTAAGAATAGAATTTTCTATCAAAAAAACTTACTATAATTAATTAAATTAATAAAAAAACTTATAATATTTATCATAACTAGCTGTCATGACCCGTACGATACGGGTTGTGGTAAATCTAATCCACATCCAAACATTTCTAAACTTGTTTCTAATTTAGTCTTTATACTTTAACTTATTTTAGTAAACGACAAAAAATAAATTAAATTAAAGTTCTGTTAGTTAGTAAAACGCGAACTTTTTGCAAACCATAATTCAATTGCTTGTTAATTTTTAATTTAAAAAGTCTAATTTAAATAAAATTTAAAAAATTGATGAGCAAATGTTTTAAATATTATGACTGCTCTGCTCATTGAAATGTCTTGGCTCGCCAAAAAGTACGCAGTTAGCATTTTACTGACTCCATGAAGTTCTCAGCTTTGGGTTAATTTTTAATTTACTATACTTAAGAACTATTTAGTATTTTTACTTATTACATTGATATTTTCTACATAATAAAATAATAAAAGTATCTTTAGCATATAAGACAGTTGCCTATCAATTCTTCAGGTGTTTTTGGAAACTTATGCTATGATAACTCTCTCATAAGGATTTGTTTGAAAAGCAAATTTGGACGTTGAAAAATGGGCCAAGCCAAAGGGACCTAGTTATTTTAATTAAGTTAGCTTTATCTGCTTGATATGATTTATAAAAGCCTTTCTCTAAAAAAGCACTTAACAAATTCATACAATTAAGCTGTTTTTACTATGGAATTAGGCAAGTATATTTTTAAACCTATTGTTTGTGCAATCAAGACTTAATGCAAATGAAAACCGTCCTGATAGTACTCAGGGTGATAAAAGTATAAATGGTTTCCATTTACATATAAAAAGTTAACGGAAATATAAAAAAACAAAAAAAAAATAGCCAATATATCTATTCAAAACTCCAACATTTTAAAGATTAAAAAATATAGAAATTTGTTTGAGAAACAAACTAAATAGTTTTTTTGAGATAAAATAAATAAAAAAAAATTAAAAAAAAATTTATATTCAAAAATACTTTTAATTACAATAAATACAATTTAATTTGAAACATTCTTTCATTATTACATATCTTTTAGTATATGGTATGGAGATTATCATATTTCCTTTTTTTTTTTTTTTTTTTTTTTTTCATATTTTCATTTTTTTAATTTTTAATATTTTCATTTTCATAATTTCGTTTCATTTTTTATATTTTAAATCTGATAATGTAAAAAGTCTTGAGCAAAAATGTCTAGTATTTAAATAAAGTTTTTCAAAAACTCACCTGTTAAGTTCATCAAACGATTAAAATATCAAACGAATAAAATCAAAAACCTAAATTTAATACATCAATTCTAACATAAACATCTTTTCCAAATTAAAGCATTTAAACATTCTTTATTTTGTGTGTGTTGATCAATGAGACATTTAGAAAGAAGATCTTCTAATATTAAGGGTGGAATTCAAAAAGCCAACATGAGATTTCAAGTCTAAAATTTGACTTAAGCAAAGGCAAAGAGCAAATTTAATCTCGAGTCTATCTTGTAAGCTCAAGTTGAGTCGTAAAATCGGCCGTTTTCAAGTTAGACTTGATAAGGCAAAAAGTTTTCCAAATGCAAAAGGCGAACTTAAAATATCAAGTTATATTTCAAATCTGAAGTCTGACCTGTAGTCAGACTTCAGATTTGAAGAAGAAACATATTTGAAATGAATTCGTATTTGAAAATCTGAATTCAAGTAGTTTTTAGTATATTTATATATATATATATATATATATATATATATATATATATATATATATATATATATATATATATATATATATATTACCAACTCAGCCGTTAAATAGGTTTTAGAAGCTCACCTGGACGTCCATGTTCGGGGACAACACCCCAATTTTGTCAACACTGGTATGACATTAGAAAGTTTTACAGATTTTTTGGCGTATTGCATAGAAATCCCCAAAAACAAAACAAAAAACAAAAAACGAAGAAAATATATCTCAAGGCATCAGGGAGAGGTTTTGTAAGAAATAATAAAATAGTGAATCGATTCTTGTTATATATACTTAACTGATCAAAGAATAGAAACAATAATAATTGAACAGTACCAACAAAGAAAATCTTTTTTATTGATAAAGTAAATGCAGAACAAAATCTGAAAAAAAACTAATATCTCGGAATACAGAATAACATTTGAAAATATTATAATGCTCCAATCAAATAATCCTTGTAGTTGTATTTATTAAAATCAGTGAATCAATATTTAACCTTTCAATATATATTGAAAATTTTTATTTTAATTTCATAATAATATTGTTGACTTTTTGGCTTTTCTGGTACCTCAACTTACAACTTAATTAAGTTTTTGTAATTGTTTTTTTTCTTTTCGATTTAAACCTGCAAAATTGGTATTGTCGGCAAAAATAGCTAAAACTTATAAAAATATTTTGTTAGTGCAATGCATTTGAATATGGTTCTTAGCATGTACATACATACTTTCTGAACTTTGCACTCTTTAGATTCAAAATGTCGATATTGTTTAAGATTTATTGTATTTGTAAGAGTTAACACTTTTATTAACGAACTTGATATTTGTACGGTTTTTAGGTGCGTATAAACTGCATTTAACAGTATTTTTTAGGCACGTTTAATAAAAACAGGAAAATGTTTCCAATTTAATTAAATTTGAAATAACTAAAACTTTTTAAATTTAAAATAATCTAGCGCAGTGGCGTGCACATTTGTCAACTAACTGTTTAGGGTGTAGCGGTGTGGAAATACATTGATGAGGATTTTTGCTTGGGCAGCCAATCTGTTAATTAAATTATTTCATTAATAGGCACGTTATTATGATATATTTGTTTTGAAAATGAAATTTAAATATATCAGTTTTACGCGCTGATCTCTATAATAACTGGATATCGCATCTCTAATATCAAAATTGTTGCCAAAATCGCCATATTGGAAAGCCCCAGAACGTTGAACGGAATTTGAAAATACAAATATTGCGCTTGAAGATTTGTTATTGCTTTACTTACATTGACTTTTTATTGCTTCTTTTGCATTGACTAGATTAAAGTTGCATATTTCAATCATATTGTTGTATTTAAAATGTTTGAAAATTGAAAAAGTAAAAAAAAAAGCACGAAAAAAATTAGAGTTGAATGGAAATAAGGAATATAGGAGAACAGACTGTTTAATAATTTGTATTTGTTTTGTATTAATTTATTACCTTTATTAATCTTCTTAAGTTCAAGATGAAACGACTTTGCTGAAAGACAAAATTAATATTTACTCTGGTTACTTTAGAATGTTTAATGTTACAACTTGATGCAATCTTTCTTTATAATAGCAGTGAGAAAGTAACTTTATAAGTGTAAAACGTAACAAAAAATATTGTATTAAAGATTTTTTAAATGGTTTTAAATTTTCATAGTTTTTAAAAAACTCGGAATATGTTGGTTTCTTCCGCGACTGCAAAAGTGATATCATCGACTTTATTACAGTAGATTGAAATTGATAATCATACACTACCAAGTTTTAGTTCTGTTAACAAGTTTTAGTTCTGCTGCTTCACAAACTTTTATTCCACTTATGAAAAGTATGAAAAGCTTTAACTTATATAACTACTAAGTTTATATGTTGTTACTTAGTTGTTTTTCTGCTATTTTGGTGACATACGTTACAAGATATATAAGCGTTTATTGTTTTTCATCAATCAAATTATGAAACATCTAAAGACACATATGTAGTTTTATTAAAGTAATTATTATTTCAACTTACATTTATCAGTTGTATCCTGATAATTAATGGTTGAATAATAATAAATCTTGTAAAATATTGTACTCAAAAACAAAAGAGAAAATAAAAGAAATACAGGTATAATTATTAATGTCTTATTTTTTAAATTATGTTAGGTTATTCTAGAGCGTTTTGGAAGTACAGAGTACTCAATGTTCTTAAGAACAGCAATAATAAATTAGTTAAAACACTAATTTTTGTCTTCAACTTCAAAAACTCATCTAACTAGGAAAAAAGATATAAATATATATATATATATATATATATATATATATATATATATATATATATATATATATACTATTATTATTATAAATATATTTTAGACAACTGCCAGATAGAATTTAGGTGCCAGATCCATAGTTTTTACAAGAAAAATATTTTTTTAACTTTGATTAAGAGAACACATGGAATTATTTACTAAAAAACAAGCCATCAACTTTTTACAAAAAGCATGTCTGTAGTTCGAGATAATTGTATGAAGAGATGGTAATATGTGCTCTAAAAGCATGAGATCATTTTTGTTGTAGCCAAAAAACATTTTAGCACATTTGTTGTAGCAATAATAAAGGCGTGCCATTGTTTTATCATTATAATTTTGCTGCAGAGGAGCACCATATAAACAAATGCAATATGATTTAAACAATTTAACCTTTACTCTGTTAGAGCATAAATGAAAGCGTCTAGTTAAAATATTTGTACGTGTGTAAAGACCCTTCATCTCCTTGGTTATATCAAGATCATCAGCTAGGTCATTTTTAATTATATGGCCAAGTTATTTGAAAAATTCAGCAAAAATAACTTTACAGCCTGATATGCATAATTCTGGGAAGGAGTTTGATATAATTTTTGAGTTGGGTTAAACACCATACATACAGTTTTCTTTGTGTTAAAGGATATGTTAATTAAGGAAGATTCTTTATTTGTAAAGCTAATTAGTTTTTTAAGAGAAAACCAAGATGGTGCAATTAAAACCATATCATCAGCGTAAGCCACCTATATTACATCCGATATGTAGTTTTGAGATTAATAAAATCATATTCTGTATGTAAAAGTTAATTAGAAGTGGGGACAACTCCAAAACTATTTGATTTTGTGTTTTGCCATCGAACAAACATTTCTATATATATATATATATATATATATATATATATATATATATATATATATATATATACTAATGAATCAACTAATGAATCATACAACAAGGTGTAAGCTGTTTACTTTGCAAGTATGTTACAAGCCTCAGGCATTTTGCAGAGGGTAATTAAGAATCAAAAGGTGCATATTGATATAGATTTGTTTTCTATCTATTTGTATTATATATATATATATATATATATATATATATATATATATATATATATATATATATATATATGTATATATGAATCTTAATTAAGAACTGATATCTATAAAAATAACTATATAAGATTTATAGTAGATTATAATACTATTATTATATTAACCTAAATTATTGCTTCTTCAACCCTCAGTTCTTTTCCTTTTTGCACCCATATGCACAACACTCTGAACCTCAAAGATCTTTTTTTAATCCTCACATTATTGTATATTCAACTTAGCTGAAATCTGATATTGTATTTAAAGCCATTTGTCGAAAAACTAAGCCAAAGGCTTACTTAAAGGTTTTTTTAAAATGAAAATAATAAATAAATGTTTTTAAAGGCTTACTTACTTATTTTTTAAAAGGCTTACTTATTCAAATATCTGGGGCTTTCCAATCTGGCGATTTTGGCGTCAAAAAATTCAAAATTTTGTTCAGAGTTGCGCTATCCAGTTAATATAGAGATCAGTGGTTTTACGTTGTAACGTTGATAAATTATAAGTTTTACGTTTAAACGTTGATTCGTTATTTTGAAATATTTTATAATATATTTATTATATGTTACTTAACATAATATAATGAATAAAATATCCTTTAATCCTGTTCATGCATAATAAAACAGTCTGCAGTAAGCATGAATTTTTATGTAAAGTTTTGTAAATGGTTCTTTTAAGTAATAGGAAGTTTGAGTTACGGATAAAAAGTAGTAAAAAAAAAATACTCAAGAAGTTATCTTAAATTAGTCATAAATCAGTATGAACTACAGTTTAGAAGAAGATATATTCCTAATCACATCCCAAGAAATATTATAGACAGATCTGAAGCCTACAATAATATAGAATTCGATGATTGGTATAGATTTACGGAAAAAACTTTTGTAATACTAACTAGCGCATTAACTTAAAAAAATATATGAATAATTAAGGCTATCCTTTTTCACCAGTGCAACAACATTCAATTGCATTTCGTTTTTATGCTACTGGTTCTTTTTAAGCTAAAAAATGTGTTAATAATTTTTATATATTTATATATATATATATATATATATATGTATATATATATATATATATATATATATATATATATATATATATATATATATATATATCTGTACCTCGGAGGGATACAACACTATTTCCATTTTCACAACTTTACAGGAGAGGATTTTTAAACTTTTTTTCAGCAAAAAGTGTTATTGGCACAGCTATTTATTGAGATGTAGAAACAGTATTTTACCAGAACATTCGATTTATTGTTATTTACATCATTTTATCGATTTATTGTTATTTACATCGATTTATTGTTATTTACATCATTTTTCACTTTTCACCTTACGCCTACTGTTCCTTGCAAATCTAGGCCTTCTTGATTTTCTGCAATCAAATTTAAGTCTTCCTGAAGTAAACGTAGCTCATTTCCATTTGAGTTTGTTTTAGCACTAGTTTTATTTCTTCTGACCTCATTTTGTATTTCATTAAATACAGGGACATCATCACTGGGATCCGTTTCAGAGCTTGGAGGTTCATAATTTTTGTCCTGATCAGAATCATCATCATCTTCGTCGAATCGCAAGTCATCTCCATTATCCTTTTCATTTTCAACATTCTTGCTGTTTGTATGATTTGGTTCTGAAATAAAACAAGTCTTATAATATTACATGTAAAACATGATATTTTGAAGTTCATAATATTTTTGGTTCATAACAAAACATTACATTAACTGTTTGAGGTTATGTATACCACATTTAAAATAATGAGCAAAACAGTAGCTTACCTGTAGTAGAATCTTTTTAAGAACTTTTCAATAGTTCCAGAATCTTTCTCCCACGAGAATTATGGTTCATTATTCTTACTATTACTAAAAAAGAGCAAATATTATGACTTAAAATACATCCAACTATCCGTGCGTTCTTTTGTACCGACCTTGTAAGTTGCAGTTAACTTGTTTCTCCCGAACGCTTTCGGTTAGTTAGCTTTGAAGCTTTGACACTATTTGCTGCTGAGAATAGGTTGCCAGGGCGACAGCACGTAAGCGCCGCCTAGATGACACACTGCGCATGTCAACCGATCTCGCCGAAGTCCAAACTACGGTAAGATGAAGTAACTGAACTTACCGAGTACCCATAAAAGAACGTTTGTGGTAAGTTACGGTGACTTCAAGTACCCATAAAAGAACGGGAAAGTGACTTCCAGTTAACCGCAAGTCACCAGGTGGGTATAAACGAACGCACGGTATTTAAACTCATCAGAACTGTCAAAAGTACTCTTAGTTCACTAACAATCCGCCAGGCTGTGTAGAGGTATACAACACTATGTCCAGTAGTAATTCACATGCTTCAGAAGGATAAAACACCAAGTCCACATGGTGTTCTCTCCCCCTAAATGAAAGTAAACTTGGTGTTGTTTTAAAACATACTATATCCGGTTCTAACTGGTTTTGGACATAGTGCTCTATTCCTCTAAGAAATATGAGAAAAGCTGATTTTAACTCTGTAATAAAGTCAATATGGAAAAAAACGGACATACTGTTGTATCCCTCCGAGGTACCGATATATATATATATATATATATATATATATATATATATATATATATATATATATATATATATATATATATATATATGATCCTTTATTCAGAGAGTGTCACTAATTTACTGAATAGTCGGTTAACCGCAAATTGATGGAAACTTTTATCCGGTTTTTGAAACGGATAACCGGCGAAATCAATATATATATATATATATATATATATATATATATATATATATATATGTATATATACCGGATAACAGATTGGTCAGCGTTGGGGACGGCACACTTTGATCTAGCCATGTTTTTCTTCACTTAAGGATCCTGTAGAAAAGATATATAAATTAAAAGCGCACAACCATGCATTTGCAATTAAACCAAACAATTATTTATAGATATAGTAAATTATAACAATTTATCTTACCTGCATCTCGGCAATGATGTTCTGTTGTAGCCTCACCATTCGTTCCGCCATATGGTTTTCGCTGCTCCACCTGGTTTTACAGTCCATGATAGGGCGGATAGGCTTTGGAAGTCTAGATACTGTAGTATCACGGTTTTTTGAATTTCTCTTGATTTCGTCTTTCTGAATTTGTTTGAGGACATTCCACGATGAATTTGAACTTCAGAGGAACTGTGCCACTCTTCTGATGGCTGCCAGCGCATTTCTAACTGTCTAGATAGCATTGATGCTGTCATTAATGGCCAATTGACTTGTATGTCCGACACACCATACCATATGCTGCACACGTTTGCTTGAAGTTAGTGCTAGCACAATGTTTGCGGCATTGTCTGACACCACTGCGAAAGCTTCCGGATTATGCCAGGCATCCATTGCAGCCTCCAAACTTGTCTGTAGGTTGATGCTCGTGTGACGCTCCTGGGAGTGAATCAAATTGATAACATAACTGACAAGGTTCCAGTTCTTTTCAATTAAATGAATTGAAATAGCTTTGAAGCTTTTATTAGAATTCGATGTCCAGCCATCTTTTGTGAGACAAGGATATATGTTTAGGTGTCCCATAATTGTCTGAACTTCTGCTAAAATGGCAGCCTTTCTTGCCTCAAATTCCAAAGATATTCTTGAAACAATTGCTACGTTTCCTATTAGTGGAGCTCCTGTAAATAAAATGTAAATAGTGTAATGAAGTTATGGAAATAATGGAAATTATTATATTAATATAGCCAGATATTTTATTTGCATTAATTTTTAAGTGTTAATGACAATTCAAAATGTTAATAACATTACAAAAAGCTGTTGTTTGAACGGCCTGATATCTATATATCTATATATATATATATATATATATATATATATATATATATAGAGAGAGAGAGAGAGAGAGAGAGAGAGAGAGAGAGAGAGAGAATTAATAAGAAAAATGTCTCTAACCTGGATACATAAATTGTGCCACTGCACGGAATCTTCTCCCTAAGACAAAATTGATAGGACGTAGATCCATAACGCACATCATTGCCAACTTGTTGCGGTACTCCTCTTTTTTGGCACTATTCATAACGACGTTGTTGTGTTAAAATACCTAATTATTAAGGTATAACTCGCACTTGTTGACGAACCTGCACCAGATCTTCCAGCAACAACCTGATTAGAAGGATGACGCAATTTGAGGTGATTCTGCATTGCAGATGTACTTCCTCCTTTGCACGATATTTGCTCACCAATAATTTTGTTATTAAAAGTTTTTAAAAAAAATAGACAAATTATTGTCTATTTTTTTAAAAACTTCCACACAATACTCTTTTTAAGACTAGACATAATGCTCTAAACAAAACAGATAATTTTTCAAAAAGAAAAATAAAAATGATTCATGTAATCAAATTTAAAAAGTTAAGCTCATAACATAACATACTTATGTAACTATTCCAAAACAGTGCAGTTATTTTCTCAAAATCGAAGTTTTTATTTCTTTTTCTTTGTCATCAAATCATGCCTGATAATAAATTCCGATAATAAAAAAATATTGAAAAAAAAAATTTTTTTTCTAAAATATTTTTTTTTTCTTATTTCAAAAATTATTATTCTTAAAACAAGATTTTTATTTCTTGTTTCTAGAATTTTTTTTCCTAAAACAAGAATTTTTTACTTGTTTCAAGAACTTTTATTCTTAAAACAAGATTTTTTTTTTTGTTGTAAGAATTTTTTTCTTTTTTCAAGAATTTTCATTCTTAATATAAGAATTTTTTTTCTTAACACTAGAAGCCAAGGTGGATCAATTGATCCAAACACGACTTTGACACTTTGCTGAAGCTAAAATTTTAATGTTGATAAAAAGATATTTTATGACTTTTATTATTTTGATATTATTTACTGAAAAGTGGAAAAACTAAATACAAAACACAGTCAGAGATGCGGCTATAAATATTTATACCTAAAAACCCTAAGCTGGATCAATTGATCCACATTATAGAAAACATGCATATACAAAACGATTTTAGTAAAATAACTAATGTTATTTGCAATGTTTGCATATATTTGGCATGCACTTTCCACAAACAGGTTTGTTACAACTTGCACATACTGTTGATGTCAGATTACGTTTGCAGTCTGTTTTTATCTGACATCTCAATCGTGTGGATAATTGTGTATTACTGTTGGTAGCTATTGTGGTATTACTGTTGGCAGCAACTTGGTATTTTCGGTGATTTATATTTGCTTCTCTTAACTGCTCAGATAAAGTGTAAAGGAACCTTTGTCTCGAAGTTCAATGGTCCATATATGTAGAAAGTTGAATCGTAAAGTGGAATTAGATCAAATGCTGGAATTTCTTTTCTGCTATGTTTAACTGTTCCAACTAATGACATTTTCTTTTGCAAAAGTTTTCTTTCAAGATCGACACTTGTAAAAAAGTTATCTTTATTAACATTATACTCGCGTCCTAAATATGGTTCTATTAGTGACGTGACCACATAAGTACCCAAATTTTCTACACAGTTTTCATCTTTACCAAGATACGGTTTGATACTTAGACAATATTTAATTTTTAAACCAGCTAAAATCCGGTTTATTAGGCATATACTGAGTAAAGCGACACCGAGCTGCAGTTGGGAACAACTGCTCATCAATTGTTAAAGGTTCCTCAGGTATATAGCATTTTTGACTATTTTCTACAAATCTTGTCAGCACCCATGACCTAAGAGCAAATTTATCTCTTTGGAGGAGCTCTCTATGTTCTGAACGTATATCAAATCTAAAGTCTTCAAACCGAGAACGCGGCATAGTTTCTGCAAAAGCTTTGTTGCCATATTTTTCAGACCATAGGAATTATTTAACTGGAAATTTCTTGCGTTCATACATCCACGTAGATATATTAGGCCTATGAAAGCATCAAGTTCAATGTCGCTTATATTCCATCCTTCATTTGATAAATTGGCAGATAAAGCAGTACATTTTTTGATAAAGCGTGTAAAGCCTTCATCCATAATTAGTCTTAATGCGTCAATAGGTGTCAAAACATTACGACAATAAGAAGTTCTTCCGCTTTTGGCAGTAAACACATTCTGAGTTTGGAATCTTCCTGTTACCTCAACTGTTAACGCAATAGTCCATTTTACATCATCTCTACGAGTTTTAACAGTTACACCATTATTCCCACCGCATGAATTTTCTTCTACATCATCATCGCTACTACTTTCCGAATTGTAAATATAAGTATTACTTTCATCGTCATCAGAAAGATTATCTTCAACAACATCTGCCTTTTCATTTTCGTTTTCTGAATCTGATTCATCGCCACTGTTCATTTCTGAGAGTTCTTGTAATATGAATAAACACTGTTGCGCCGACACGTTTTGGACGTTTGGTATGTAACTGATTGGTCAATTGAATGAGAATGTACTGCAATAGAGGTTTTTGATGATGAAGCACCATCAGCGTTTGCTGAACTTATGCGTTTCATTATAATATTAATAACTTTTATGATACTTAATATATATTTGCTACAGGCCAATAGATTATAAGTTTTATACTGTAAAGCAGTAATATTAGTGTACTTGTGGTGGCAGCATATTTATAACAAAGATGCGGAAACAATACTTTATTTTATTCGCTAATCTTTTTATTTTATTTCTTTTTTTTTATTTTAATTTAAGTAATCTGTATAAATAAGTTAGAGTAATCCAGATTTAGGCAAATCATGCTATTAAACCTTTGCTTAGAGTAAAACGCGCCGTATTTTAGGCATAAAATTTATGAATATGGGCATAAAAATTATGTATATTATGTATATTATGTAAATTTCTTTCACCCTACATATGTAGGGTGAAAGAAATTTATATATTGATGCATTATATATTTGCATTACTAACAGTTAAAACTTTTAATTTTGATGTAAAGTATATATACTTTACATCAAAATTAAAAGTTTTAACTGTTAGTTTCATGCATTTAATCAAAAAAAAAAAGTCTAAATGCATATAAATATTAGGTTGGATCAATTGATCCACTTTGGGGTTTCTAGGTATATATAAATCCTGGGGCTTCTAGTGTTAATATAAGAACTTTTTTTCTTGCTTCAAGAATTTATATTCTTAAAATAAGATTTTTTTTTCGTATTTTAAGAACTTATTTTCTTAAAATTATGTGTTTTTTTTTTCTTGTTTCAAGAATTTATATTCCTTTAAAAAAAACATTTTTTACTTGTTTCAATGTTGTTTTTATTTAAAATAATATTCTATTTTTTTGTTTCAATAATATTTCTCCTGAACTATATAACAATATTACAAAAGTACTTTTTCTATGGGAAAAATGAAACATTATTTTGAAATTAGGATGATATATAATAAGAATATTTCAAAAGCATTTATACAATTAAACAATAAATCTAATCGTTGAAATAACAAGTTGTTCTTTGGAATGTTTTATTATTGTTCATGCTTGTAGCGGAAATACTTCTCCCTCATCCATGACTAGTGTATTCCAATAAGTTCCATCACGAAGTCAGAAAATGAAAAACTTCATAAAATAATCTTTTGCCACACATAATAATCACTTCGTCTCCATAGTACCGATGGTTCTCCCTTTTTTGTATGTCGTCTGTTACGTATAGATTAGGGTTTTTTAAATCTGAAAATAAATTTTACAAACTCAAAATTTTTATATATATATATATATACATATATATATATATATATATATATATATATATATATATATATATATATATATATATATATATATATATATATATATATATATATATATATATATATATATATATATATATATATATATAAGCCCCAAACTTCAAGAACTATAGTCTATAGTTCTTTTAAAGGAGGGAGGGGATTTTTTCCCTAATAATTGTAGTTTAATAAACTTTTTTTGGTCCCCCTAGAGGTTACAGCACTGATATATATATATATATATATATATATATATATATATATATATATATATATATATATATATATATATATATATATATATATATACACACACATATATATATATATATATATATATATATATATATATATATATATATATTTAAGTGTTTTCAAAAAATCATACAAACTTACAGCTTTTTCTAAAACAATATGTCCAGTTTTAGTCTTTTTAAAGTAATTGCAGCAAGTACTTTATTAAGTGTTTAACTTTATTATCTAAAAACACGTTCCTTACTTAATTATCGATTGATTTCAATACATTATTGTACCTAACTCTAACCCTAACCTAGCGAAAACCTAAAAATGCCTGAGGTTGGCAATTTTTTGCTGACCTTGTTTTTATCTTTTATAGTAAAACCTTTGTAAAAATAGCTTTATGTTTACCGATTGTAATCTGATGCCAACCTAAAACAGTTTAAAGTTGAAATCTTATTACTCACTTTAGTTTTACTAATTTTGAGGGCTGTGTATGCGCATGCATACTTACCTGTAATTGGGTGGCAGAGGGCGAGGAACTGCCAACTTGTGTATTCCATAATTCTAAAGTGTATTATTGTCTTCATTCTTGCTAAGTCAACTGTGACAGAAGACTTAAATACATGAGCTATGTCGCTGACGATCTAAGTTAAATTATCATAATAAAAAAAGCATACAACTTTATAAAGCAGAGAAAACTTATAGAATAACCCATTAGAGGACATTTTTGGCAGTTTTGAAAATACCTTCTCACTTAAAAAAAGATTTGTGATTTTGAAACATTTTTACATTTTATCCAATAAATATATGAAATCACAAAATAGCACATTAAGGAAACATTGATATTTCTCTAAAAATGCTGCAACTCTATCAACTATTATTAACCCAGGTTTATAAATTAAAATTCTATACTTGGATCAATTAAAGTAAGGATAAAAAATGTTAAAAATAAAATTAATTAATAATACTAAATTTATTAATTGAAAAGTATTGTTACTTAAAAAGTATTGTTACTTACTATAAAAAGTATAAAACTTACTATAAAAAAGTATTGTTACTTACTATACTTTGCTTGTATTTTGAAACATGCAATTGCTTAAAAGAAAACACGCACATATATGTCATATATGTGTATGTATGCAACATACACATGGATATTTAGATATAATAGTACTAATACTAATCTTAAGTAAAAACCAATTATATAGTAATAGCAATAACAATATTAAAACAATTACAACGAAGTAAGCAATGTTAACAATAATATTTATATTAACATAATAATAACAATAATAATAGTAATAATAATATTGATAAATATTAAATTCAATATTAAACAATAGCAATAAGTAATAGTGATATGAATTAAAGTAAAATAATGTTAATATTTATATTACATATAATCATACGAAATGCACTAATAATAACCCGCAATGAGCGTAACATTTTACGAACAGTAATTACATTTCTCCAAAGTAAGAAAACAAAGATTAGTTTTAGTAGTAAAGTTTAGTGATATAAAGTGAATATAAAAAATAAATTATTCTATGAACAAAAAATCATAAATTATTACAGATTTTATGGATTGGTTTGTGATGTGATTTGTTATGCTGTACTTAACTAAACAATGATTTAAAATATATAATTTAAAGTTGCTAAATGATAGAAGATAATATTGAGAATTTTTTATAGAAGTAAAGAAATTACAGATTGAGGTAACTTGTGTGTGATAAACAATTTAATAGATGAACAAGAGCACACAATTTAATAATTTTGGATAGAAAGGAAAGATTTTGAATTAGAGTGATATTCTTGAAAGTAAATTATTTTAAATGTCTAGTTTTTAGATTAGATATTCATAAAAGTTATTGGTTCATAAATTATAAGTTTATATAATATATCATATTAGAGTGTTTTTAGTATGTTTGAGAAATAAAATAAAAGAGGTTTGCTTTTTACTATTACAATCTATTTGACTTTAGAAAAATATATTACTGGTTTAATACAGTTTTATTGATGTTATTTCATTTATGAAAAAATTGGGTGCTAGGTTTGAATACTACAAACAACCTTTGGTCCAAATACTCCATTCATCGCGAATTTAATAAATAAGTTGCAGCATTAATTTTTACAAAACCAAAATTAAAAAAAACTTGCTTTTCAAAAAGATTATGTAGTTTAGCTACATATACACATCCGCACCCATTTTAAAATCTCTGAAATTTTTTATGAATTTTTTGAACATGCGCCATAAACATAACGTTTGTAATTAACTGTGCAAAATTATAGGTTTTTAAGATATTGGGTCCCTAATGACAGCTTGGGGAAGGGGTAGGCGGAAGTGGCAGAGTCTTTAGCCACACAAAGTCCTGGATCCATCGCTCGGCAGTTTATTCATTTTTGTTTTATTATATTTATATTACTATTATATATATATTTATTATAGAAAAGTGCACAAATTTGGAGCACTTCAAACTAAATGTGTTCTCATTTATCGAACCCTGAGGGATAAGAGTTTGAGTTGACCTACGACCAACTACCCAGAAAGTAACCCGGGTTGATATCTTTCGAAATCAGACGTCGCAGCCACCAAGAAGATTATCTGTATAAAAATTGTAAAAATATTTTAAATTTGGAAAAAAAAATTCTGTAATTTAAAATATTTCGTTTCAGAAAAAACACAGTTAAAAAGGCATTGTTTTTCTTTACATGTTTTTAAAATCGCACGGATTTCACTTTAAGCACTCTTGTTATCATACTGTAAAATGTAATCAAAAATATTGAAGTTTTGCAATTTAAATAACTTTTTGGAAATAAATGAAAATAAGTTTAAAACTTAACTTAACTTTTAGTTATTTAGTAGAAATCAATCAAAAAAAACATTGAAGTTTTTAAAAATATCTCAAATCAATAATTCAAAGTTAATGGCAATAATTTGTTTTTATAAAAAATAACAATACCATGGAAAATTAAATTCTAGTTCAAAGTTTTTAAATGTATAGAAATATTAAATGAGCAATAAATATAATTAAGTAGAATATATTTTTCGCTAACAGTTAGCGATTCATAAAGTCTGCTTAACTTTAATTATTGCTCATTTAATAAATTTATACATTTAAAAAGTTTGAACAAGAATTTAATTTTCCATGGTAATGTTATTTTTTATTAAAACAAGTTAGTCTATCTTGAAAAAGGGGACATGTTATGTGAATTTTTGCAGGAAACTGTCCCCTTTTTCAAGTTAGAGATTCATATTTAAGTTCACTTAACTAAAGTTTTAAGTACTTCTGTGGTTACAAGAAATATTTAGGAAAGTATGAAATAAATTTAGACAGTTAAAACTTACATGTATCCAAATTAGTGTACTTTTTCCTTGATTT